GGCCCTCCCTCCCCTAGGGAATCTCGGCACGATTCCCACGGACGTGTTAAAAGCGGGACTGGATCCAGATGTGGGGCCGGATCCAGATGTGGGGCCGGATCAGATCCCGGACCCAGAGAGAGCAGCGGAAGCGGTTCCGGGGGATGGGGGGGGGGGCGGGACGGGACCCCCCCGTGAGGACGGGACCGGGAGGGGGGGGCAGGGATCCCAAAACCACAGCCCCGGCACGGCGGCCAAGACTGGGAGCACTGGGAAAGCGCGGCTGAGTCAGCAGCGCCAGGAATGCGCCCGGGCACAGGCAAAGGTCGGGCAGGCGGAATGGGGGGGCAGGATGGGGAACTTGGGGTGGCCCCGGGGACCCCCTGAGGGCTCCGTGCCCGCCACTCACCCTGAAGAAGCTGCGGATGGCCGGCAGGTGCCCGGCGCACGCTGCCCGCTGCGATTCCGGCGCCTTTTCGCCCACCTGGCACCGCAGGGAGGGCTCAGCCCGGGGGGGTCCCGGCCGGGGGTCCCCCCGAGCTGCCCCCCAGCACTCACCCAGCTGATCAGGACGATCCTGGGGGTGCCCGAGCCGGGATCGGGGACCCGGCACAGCCCGTACATGATGCTGCCCACGGAGAATTTGCCAGCGAGCTCATCCGGCCCCCCGGCTGTAAGGAGGGGGGGTCAGAGGGGGTACAGGAAAATCGGGGGACCCCTCTCCCCAATATTTCCCGGCAGCGTCGCTCGCGGTACCTCCGGAATCCAGGAGCTTGAGGTCGTAGTGCTTCTCATAGCCAAAAACGGCCCTGGGGGGAGAGAGGGGCTCAGGGTGGGGGTCAGGGTGGGGGGGTCACAGCGGGTGTCACATGAAGTGGGGGGACCTGCCAGCCTTGGGCACCCCCGCGCTGCCCCGTGCCACCAGCTTGGGATGAATTCATGGAAGTGCCGCCGGCAGCATCCGCCCCCGGGACAATGGGAACGTGGGAAGCGCCGGAGCGGCACAGCCCCCCCCCCACAGCGACCCCCCCCCCACCCGGTGCGGCGGTGCCGGGACCCCCGCCCGGCCCGGGGAGCGCTCGGGGGGCCCCATCCCGGCGGGACCGTCCCCCCCGTCCCGGGCATTCCCGGCGGCTCTGCCGCTCTTTGTTCCCGCGTGGCTCCGGTGCGGGGCCGGGCACGGCTCCGGCAGCGCGCGTGGAGCATGCAGGGCACGTCACGCGTGTCACGGCATGTCGCGACAGGCTGCGGCGCCACATGGCGGGACCGAGCCCGGCACGCGGCCGGGAGGAGCCGGCGCTGGAGCGGCTCCAGCGGCGCTCCGGGGGCAGAGGGCAATGCCCGCCCGGCCGCGGCCACGGGCACGGGCGCTCCCGTGACGCCGGGGGGCTGCGAGCCCGGTGAGCCCCGGCGCCGCCGCTCCCCACCCCGGGATGGGGGTTTTGGGGGACACCGGCCCCGCTGCACCGGCACCGGGACCCCCAGCCCGGTACCGTCCCGGGACCCGCGCCCCCCGGTACAGCCGGGCAGATACCCCCTTTCCGCACACCCCGGGGCGCTCCCCGCTCCCGCAGCGCCCCCGGGCCCGTCCTGCCCCGGCCCCGGGCGGCGGCGCCGCTCCCAGCCCGGCGGCACCGGGAGGGAACGGGCGGGACGGGGCGAGACCGGCTGGGGCTCCCGGTTCCCAGCGCGGCGGGCTCAGTCCCGGGACCCCGCCGAGGACCGGCACCCCCCGGCCCAGAGCCCGGTGCCCCCCGGAGCCCCTTCCCGGTGCCGGTACCGGTACCGGTGCCTCCCGGCCCGCCCTCGACAGCCCGGGCCGCGCCGGTGACGGTTCCTGCTCCCGTTCCCGGTCCTGTGTCCGGTGCCCGTCCCAGTGCCCGTTCCCAGTCTCGGTCCCCTCTTCCGTTCCTGTTTCCATTCCCGGTTCCCTGTGCCCGCTCCTCATTCCCGGTTCGCTGTTCCCGGTCCTCCCTTCCGTCCCCTTTCCTGGTCTCCATTCCCGGCTCCCGTTCCCTCTCCCGGTGTCCCGTTCTCACCAGTCGGTGCCAGCCCGGGGGTTCCCCACGTCCTCCCGCGCCGCCAGCAGCGCCAGCCGGTACCGCTCCAGCCCCGGCCCCGCCATCCCGATCCCGGGGCCGATCCCGATCCCGGGGCCGATCCCGATCCCGGGGCCGCCGCCGCCGCCCTGCGCCCGCCCCTCCCTCCCTCCCCCGCCACCCCCCCGGCGCTTTCCGCCTCCCACGGGCGGCACCGGGCGGGGCGGGGGCGGGAGCGGCCGGGAGGCACCGGCGCGGCACGGGACGGGCGGCGCTGGGAGCGCCGGGAACGGGCCCGGGTCCCGCACCGGGACGGGGTCCGGTACCGGGATGAGGGTCCCGTACCGGGATGGGGGTCCTGTACCGAGATGGGGGTCCTGTACTGGGATGGGGGTCCTTTACCGGGACAGGGGTCCGGTACCGGGATGGGGGTCCCGAACTGGGATGGGGATCTTGTACCGGGACAGGGGTCCGGTACCGGGACAGGGGTCCGGTACCGGGATGGGGGTCCCGAACTGGGATGGGGATCTTGTACCGGGACAGGGGTCCGGTACCGGGACAGGGGTCCGGTACCGGGATGAGGGTCCCGTACTGGGATGGGGATCTTGTACCGGGACAGGGGTCCTGCACCGGGATGGGGGTCCCGTAGCGGGATGGGGGTCTCGGTACCAGGGTGAGGGTCCTGTACCAGGATGGGGGCCCTGTACTGGGATGAGGATCCCATACTGGGATGAGGGTCCGTGTACCGGGATGGGAGTCCCTGTATGAGGGTCCTGTACTGGGATGAGGGTCCTGAACGGGGATGGGGGTCCCGTACCGGGATGGGGGTCCCATATCAGTATGGGGGTCCTGTTCTGGGATGAGGGTCCCATACTGGGATGAGGATCCGTGTACCGGGATGGGGGTCCCTGTATGAGGATCCTGTACTGGGATGAGGGTCCCATACTGGGATGAGAGTCCTGTACCAGGATGATTGTCCCATATCAGAATGGGGGTCCCTGTACAGGGCCTGGGTCTTGTACTGGGATGAGGGTCCCATACCGGGATGGGGTTCCCTGTATGAGGGTCCCTGTACTGGGATGGGGGTCCCTGTATGGGAGTCCTGTACTAGAATGGGGGTCCCTCTACTGGGATGGGGGTCCCATACTGGGATGAGGGTCCTGTATGAGAGTCCCTGTACTGGGGTGGGGGTCCTGTACCAGGTTGGGGGTCCCTGTACAGGGATGGGGTTCCCTGTATGAGAGTCCCTGTACCAGGATGGGGGTCCCTGTACTGGGGTGAGGGTCCCTGTATGAGAGTCCCTGTACTGGGATGAGGGTCCTGTACAGGGATGGGGGTTCCATACTGGGATGAGGACCCTGTACCAGGATGAGGGTCCCTGTACTGGGGTAGAGGGTCCTGTACCGGGATGAGGGTCCCATACCAGGATGGGGGTCCCATAGTGGGGTGAAGGTGCCGTACTGGGATGAGGGTGCTGCACCAGGATGAGGGTGCTGTGCCAGATTCCCATTTCAGGACATGGACGCAGGCTCCAGGATCCCACTCTGGAATGCCAGTGGAGGTCCCAGGGTCCCACAGCAGGACACGGATGTCACAGCAGGACGTGGGGCAGGTCCCAGGGGCCCAGGCTGGGCCGTGTGCCCGGCTCCAGTGCTGGAATGTGGCTGCAGTGCCAGGATCCCATCCCACCACCAGGGTCCCCAAACTGTCCCCCCTGTCCCCTCCCCCGGCCCTGGAGCCTCTCCCCCATTCCCTTTTCACGCCAGGAAATGGGATTTTGGGGCTGGGGGAGTCCCCGGGTCCCCCTCGACCATGAAGGGGGTGGCGGGGGGGTCTTGGGGACATTCCCAGCCCAGAGCCTGGCCCGGCCCGGCCCCACAGGGCTCCTGTCCCAAAGCCTCTCCCCGTTCCCTTATTTGGGCACCGCGGCTGGAAAATCCCAAATCCCCGGGGAGGAGAAAAATGCTGGAAAATGGGATCGTGGGCCCGGGGACACGCCCAGCCCATAGCGGCGAGCCGTGTCACCCCCTGTCACCGGGGGTCACTGCTGGCACTGGTGTGAGTGGTGTGAGTGGCATTACTGGTCTGAGTGGTGTCATTGGTGTCACTGGTGTTGCTGGTGTCACCAGTGTTACTTTCTACTGGTGTCGCTCTTACTGGTGGCACTGGTTTTGCTGGTTTTGCTGGTTTTGCTGGTACCATTGGTGTCACTGCTGTCATTGCTGTCACTGCTGTCATTGCTGTCACTGCTGTCACTGCCGTCAGTGACGTCACCGCTTTGACTGGTGTGACCGGTAGTACTGGTTTTACTGGTGTCACTGGTTTGACTGGTGCCACTGGGGTTGCCGCTGTCACCGGTTTCACTTGTGTGTCCCGCTGCTGTCACTGCTGTCACTGCTGTCATTGTTATCAGTGACGTCACCACTTTGACTGGTGTAACCGGTATTGCTGGTTTAACTGGTGTCACTGGTTTAACTGGTGTCACTCGGGTTATTGCTGTCACCGGTTTCACTGGTGTGTCCTGCTGCTGTCACTGCTGTCACTGATGCCGCTGCTGTCACAGGTGTCACTGCTGTCACTGCTGTCACTGCTGTCACTGATGCCGCTGCTGTCACAGGTGTCACTGCTATCGCTGCTATCGCGGCTGTCGCGACCCCGCCCCCTCGCCCATGTGGGCGTGGTCTCTCACGGGGGCGTATCACATGACCCCGCCCAGTGGGCGTGGCCTCGGTGGCGGGTGTGGGCGTGGCCCCGGGGGCTGACCCGTCACGTGGCGTTGCGGCGCCCCCTGGCGGCCCTCCTTTGTCCCCGCGCGGGGCGGGGCCGCGGGGGGCGTGGCCAGGCGGGCGGCGCCGCGCGGGATTGGCGGGGCGGGGCGAGGCGGGGCGGGGCGTGCCGCGGCGGCGCGCGCTGATTGGCTGCTAGGCGGGGTGGGGCGGGGCGGGCGGGGCGGGGGTCGGTAACGGGCCGGGGCCGGGCGGGGGGCGCTGAGCGGGGCCGCTCCGCTGCCCGGGGCCCCCCGCGCCCCCATGGACCCCGACGTGGATTACGAGCGGCCCAACGTCGAGACCATCAAGTGCGTCGTGGTTGGCGACAACGCCGTGGGCAAGACGCGGCTGATCTGCGCCCGCGCCTGCAACGCCACGCTGAGCCAGTACCGGCTGCTGGCCACACACGTGCCCACCGTGTGGGCCATCGACCAGTACCGCGTCTGCCAGGAGGTGAGGGCACCGCCGGGCACCGCCGGGCACCGCCGGGCACCGAGCGAGCGGGGGAACGGCGGGAGGGGCGTTACCGGGGACACCGGGCATCGCCGGGCACGGCGGGGCAGGGGGGCGGGGGGGGAGCAACAGGGGGTACCGAGCACCGGGGAGCAGGCGGTACCGCAGGGGACACCGAGCGGGGAACCGGGAGGGGGCAGCGGGGGCGCAGCGGGGTGGTCCCGGTGGTTCCGGACAGGGCGGTCGGTGATGGTGCCGTTCCCGGTGCCGTTCCCGGTGCCGACAGGTGCTGGAGCGCTCCCGGGATGTGGTGGACGAGGTCAGCGTCTCCCTGCGCCTCTGGGACACCTTTGGGGACCACCATAAGGACCGGCGCTTCGCCTATGGCAGGTGGGACGGCGACCCGCCACCGGAACCCCACCTCCTACCGCCACCGGCACTGGCACCCCGGCTCCGGTCACCGACAGCCCGGCTGCTGTCACCGGCAGCCCAGCCCCCACCCCAGCCCCCGAGCGCCAGCCCTGCCCATCCCGGGATGCCCGGAGCCAACGGAGTCCCTTGGGCTCCTGCCAGCGCCCGGGGAGCAGCTCTGGCACCCCAAACCCCATCCCCCTCCTTTGGTGCCACCGCGACCCCAACACTGCCCCCCCGAAGCCCCCGCCCCGAGCAGGGACCCTCCGGAGCTGTGGGTGGGGGGCGGCTCCAGGGGGGCTCTTGTGGTGCGAGAATCCTTTGGGGGAGGCGCTGGGCTGGCAGCAGGAGGGGCCCCCCCAGATCTCCGGTGTCCCCCGGTTGTAAACAGCCGGTGCCCGTGGCCGCTGGCACGTCCGGGCTCTGTTATCGCCGCCGCCCCGCGCCAGCCCCGCGGCTCCGCTAATCTCCCCGCGGCACGGCGGGGCTGGGGGGGCCCGGTCCCCGACGCTCGCGGTGGCCCCGGGGCTGGCCGAGGGCCCCGGGGGGGCCGGTGGCGGCTATCTTGGTCTGGGACACGGGCCCGGCTCCAGCGGCGCCTCCCGGTCACGTCCCGTCCCGGCTCGGACTAAAAACAACCCGGGCCCGGGGCCACGCGGCTGCTGCGGGGACTTGGGGGTGCTGGAACCCCCCTGTGTGTCCTGGCACAGCCCCCCGTGTGTCCCCTGGCACCCCTTCATGTCCCCTGGCACCCCCCCAGGTCCCCTGGCAGACCCCCAGGTCCCCTGGCACCTCTCACTCCCCGGGATGGCAGCGGCCGCCCCACAGTGGGCGCGGGGCGGGATTGGGGACAGCAGGCGTGGAATGTCCCCGGAGCTGGGGGCTGGCACCCACCCAAACACCCCCCATGGGACTCCCCCTATGGCTCAGGACCACCACGGTGCCCACCCGAGCTGGGGCAGCCTGTGGCAGTGGTGACACAAAGCCAGGTCCCGTGGGGTCCCTCCGGTCCCCTGTCACTGTCATGGGGTCCCAGAGGCCGTGGAGTTCGTGTGGCCGCGGGGATCTGTGGGGTTCCCGTGGCTGGGGGGCTCTCGGGGGGGTCCTGAGGCTCCTGGGGGGTCCCAGGCTGGGGACAATGACCCGGGTGCCGTGTTTGGGGACGCGTTTGGGGACACGTTTGGGGATGCGTTTGGGGACGCCGGGTGGCACCGGGACAGTGCTGCCCTCCCCCCCCGCGCAGGTCGGACGTGGTGGTGCTCTGCTTCTCGCTGGCGAACCCCAACTCGCTGCGGCACGTGAAGAGCATGTGGTACCCCGAGATCAAGCACTTCTGCCCGCGCACCCCCATCGTGCTGGTGGGCTGCCAGCTGGACCTGCGCTACGCCGACCTGGACGCCGTCAACCGCGCGCGCAGGCCGCTGGCCAAGTGAGCCCCCAGAGCGTCCCGCGGGGACAGGGACACCTCAGAGTGTCACCATTGAGTGGGGACCCCTCCCTGTGCAGCTATGGGGAGTTTTGTCACCAGCATGTGAGGGTGTGTCACCTCCCCGCAGGATGGGGTCCCCCTGTGGGTCAGCACTTGTGGGGTGGAACCTGCGCCCTGCCCAGCACTCCTGTCTTGGGAGGCCCCCCTGGTACCCCCACAATGAGGGGTCACCCTCCCAGCACCCCCTGGCATGGCCACGAGACCTCCCAGCACCCTTGGAACGAGCACAGGCCGCCCTGGACACCCCCTCAGCCCTTGCCCTGTCCGTGCCCCCCCAGGCCCATCAAGCCCTCGGACATCCTGCCACCGGAGCGGGGCCACGAGGTGGCCCAGGAGCTGGGGGTGCCCTACTACGAGACCAGCGTGGTGGCCCAGTTCGGCGTCAAGGACGTGTTCGACAACGCCATCCGCGCCGCGCTCGTGTCCCGCCGCCACCTGCAGTTCTGGAAGTCCCACCTGCGCAAGATGCAGCGCCCGCTGCTGCAGGCGCCCTTCCTGCCCCCCAAGCCCCCCCCGCCCCTCATCCAGGTGCCCGACGCCCCCCCGGGGCTGGGGGGGGGCCCGGCCGCGCTGTTCCGGGCCCCGCTCTGCGCCGACGTCGTCTTCCAGCTGCAGGGCGGCCACCGCGTCTTCGCCCACCGCGTCTACCTGGCCACCGCCTGCTCCCGCTTCTACGACCTCTTCGCGCTGGAGGAGCCGCCCGGCGAGGGGGACGGGGACGGCCGTGACCTGTCCTCGTGGGGCCGCGGCTTCCTGAGCCTGCGCTGGGAGGCGGTGGCCGACCCGGTGGCGGGGCGGGAGCGGCGCATGGCGGTGGTGGCCATGGACCGGGGCGTGCGGCCGGAGCCGCTGCGCGCCGTGCTGGAGTATCTGTACACGGGCAAGCTGGAGAGGCCCCACGGGGACCTGAGGCAGGTGGGGGCCGTGGCCGAGCTGCTCGAGGTGTTCGACCTGCGCATGATGGTGGCCAACGAGCTCAACCAGGAGAGCTTCATGAACCAGGAGATCACCAAGGCCTTCCACGTGCGCCGCGCCAACCGCGTCAAGGAGTGCCTGGCCAAGGGGGTCTTTGCAGGTATAGGGGGTGGGGTAGGGGCTGTGGGGATGGGAGGGTCACCACTGTCACCTCCAGATGGTGTCACCTTCTCGTGGTGCCAGTGGGGTCACGGGGATATGGTCAGCCTGAGACCCTTCCACCTCTGAGGTCTTTGGAGTCTGGGGTCCTGCCCCGGTCAGTCATGGAGGGGCTGCTGGGGTGGAGTGACAGTTCGGGGTGGTGACCAAGGGGGCTTGTCCCCAAGGCAGTGGTGTCCCCATGGAAGGGGTGTCCAAGGAATTCTTGTCCCCAAGGAAATTGTGTCTGAGGGTGGCTGTCCAAGGAATTCTTGTCCCCAAGGCAGTGGTGTCCCCATGGAAGGGGTGTCTAAGGGATTCCTGTCCCCAAGGCAGTGGTGTCTGAGGGGTGGCTGTCCCTATGGAAAGGTGCCCAAGGGATTCTTGTCCCCATGAAGGGGTGTCCCCATGGAAGGGGGTCCAAGGGATTCTTGTCCCCAAGGCAGTGGTGTCCCCATGGAAGGAGTGTTCAAGGGATGGTTGTCCCCAAGGCAATGGTGTCTGAGGTGTGGCTGTCCCCATGGAAAGAGTATCCAAGGGATTCTTGTCCCCAGGGCAGTGGTGTCCGAGGGGTGGCTGTCCCCAAGGAAGGGGTGTCCAAGGGATGGTTGTCCCCAAGGCAGTGGTGTCCCCGTGGAAGGGGCATCCAAGGGATTCTTGTCTCCATGACAGTGGCGGTCAATGAGTGCCTGTCCCTGGTCTGCCGTGTCCCAGGGGTGGCCATCCCTGATCTGTAATGTCCCAGGGGTGGCTGTCCCTGGGCTGGGGGGCACAAGGGCTACCTGGGGGGTGGCTGTGTCCCCCCTGAGCTGTCCCTGTCCCCAGACGTGGTGTTCCTGGTGGATGACGGCGCGGTGCCGGCGCACAAGCCGCTGCTCATCGCCGGCTGTGACTGGATGAGGGCCATGTTCCGGGGCGGCTTCCGCGAGAGCTACGCCAGCGAGGTGGGCACCGGGGGGCACCTGTGGCTCCGGAAGGCAGGGTGGGCATTTGGGTTGGGGTCAGGGGGCTGCTCAGACCCCCTGGCCCGGGGACACGTGTGCGCTGCTTCCCATTGTGCTGGGATGTGGGGGCTATTCCAGGGCTGGGGGTGCTGTGCCAGCTCAGGCACTGCCAGGAGGGTCCCCCTTTCACCCAGCCCCCTTTGGGGGTGTCTCTGAGCTCCCCCCAATCCCACAGGTGTCGCTGCCCGGCACCAACTGCGCCTGCCTCCGCGCCGTCCTCGACTTCCTCTACACCGGAGTCTTCACCCCCACGCCCGAGCTGGACGCCATGGAGCTGCTGATCCTCACGGACCGGCTGTGCCTGCCGCGGCTGCAGGCGCTCACCGGTGAGCCCCCCGCCGGTATCCCCCGGTCCCTGACGTCACCAATGCCCCGCTGCTGCCGCGGGGACGGATCGATCATCGATCGTCCCCGTGTGTCACTCGCTGTCCTTATGTAAGCGCGGGGGGGCCGTCCCTGTTGTGTGACCCCCCCTGAACCCCCATTTCCCCCCTTTTCCCAGAGCAATACGCCGTGGACGAGCTGCTGCGAGCCTTCATGCAGCGCGTGGAGATCGACGAGCAGGTCATCATCTACCTGGAGATGACGCAGGTATGGGGGGGCTGGGGGGCACGGAGACCCCCGGGGGGGGACATAGAGATTCCCAAGTGATGGGGTGACTCCCCCCCAAATCCCTCCCCAGTTCCACAACGCCCGGCAGCTGGCGGCGTGGTGCCTGCACTACATCTGCACCAACTACAACCGCGTGTGCCGCCGCTTCCCCCGCGAGATGAAGTTCATGTCCCCAGGTATGGATGGATGGATGATGGATGGATGGATGGATGGATGGATGGATGGATGGATGGATGGATGGATGATGGATGGATGGATGGATGAGTGATGGGTGGATGATGGATGGATGGATGATGGATGGATGGATGGATGGATGGATGATGGATGGATGGATGGATGAATGATGGGTGGATGATGGATGGATGGATGGATGGATGGATGGGTGGATGGATGATGGATGGATGAGGGATGGATGGATGAATGATGGGTGGATGATGGATGGATGGATGGGTGGATGGATGATGGATGGATGGATGGATGGATGGATGGATGATGGATGGATGGATGGAAGGATGGATGGATGATGGATGGATGGATGGATGATGGATGGATGGATGGAAGGATGGATGGATGGATGGATGATGGATGGATGGGTGGATGGATGGATGGATGGGTGGATGGATGGATGGATGGATCGATCGATCGATGATGGAAGGATGGATGGAAGGAAGGAAGGATGGATGGATGGATGGATGGATGGATGGATGGATGGGGGGCACCACGGGGAGGGCAGGGGGTCCCCAGCCGTGCCCTGAGCCCCGCGGTGTCCCCGCAGAGAACCAGGCTCACTTCGAGCGGCACCGCTGGCCGCCGGTGTGGTACCTGAAGGAGGAGGATCTGTACCTGCGCTCCAAGAAGGAGCGGGAGCGCGAGGAGCAGCTGCAGCGCAAGCAGCACCCCCGCAGCAAGTGGTGCTTCTGGAGACCCTCACCGCCCGTGTCCTGAGCGGGGGGCTCGGGGAGGGCACCCCCGTGTGGAGCTGGGGGGCTCGGGAGGGCTGGCAGCCCCTGGGCTGAGCAGGGGGTTCGGCCCTGGGCTCCCCGTGCAGGGTGAGGGGGCTCAGCTGGGCTGGGGGTCCCTGTGGTGAGTGGGGGGCTCGGGGCTGGGGGGCTTGGATGGGCTGGGGGGTCAGGTCCTGAGACCCCCACACTTGACTTGGGGGGCTCAGCTGGGCTGTGGGTCCCTGTGTGGAGTGAGGGGCTTGGGCCTGGGGCTTTTATAAAGGGCTGGGGGGCTCCCATGCAGGGCTGGGGGTCCCTGTGCTGGGCTGGGGGTCCCTGTGTTGAGGGCCCTGGGCTCCCATGAAGGGCTGGGGGTCCCTGTGCTGGGCTGAGGGGCTCAGGACCCCCACCCTCAGCCCCAGGGACCCCACACTGAACAGAGGGGTTGGCCCAGGACCCCCACCCCGGGCTGTGGCTCTCAGCCCTGGGACCCCCTCCCCCAGAGCACTGACCAGGGGGCTTGGCCGGGGTGGGGGTCCCCAAGGGCTCGTTTACCCCCCCGTCCCCGGCTGTTTACAGGCTCTGCCGGCTCGCAGCCCCCCGGTGCCACCGTGCCTTTCCCCGGTGAGGGGGGGGGGCCGTGCTGAGCCCCCTCCCCCGGCAGGGCCCCCTCCCCACGGCTGGTGCTACCTCTGACCGAGCAGTATTTGGGGCTGGGGGTGCGCGGGCAGCGGGGGCTCTGCCGCTCCCCCTTTCATTTCTGGGGGGTCCCCACCCCCGTAGGGCTCTCTGGTGCTGTATTTTCCCCCCCTCTCCATGGGGGGGGGGTCCAAGCTGTGAGCAGGGCGGGCTGGGTGGGTGGGTGGGCGCGGGGAGGGGTCCCTGGGTGCTTGTGTGGCTGCAGAGCCCCCGGCTCATCTCTGTGCCTTGGACGCGGGGGGGGGGGGGGAACATTGTCCCTGTCCCGGGGGTGTGGCATTGTCGCTGTCCCCTCCCCCGGGCTGAACTGCACAACCGTTTTACCGTTTTTACACTTTTTTACCCCAGGAGCACAGCGGGGCCCCCCCCATGGCCTCAGGGTCCCACCCGGCCCGGAGCGGGGCCCCCCCACCTCAGCAGCGGCTGTTTTAACCTTTAATAAAGCTTTTTGTAACGGAGCCGGACTCTGCTGGGCACCCCCAAACTCTGCTGAGTGCCCCCAAACCCTGCTGGGCCCTGCCGAACCCTGCTGGGCACCCCCAAACCCTGCTGAGTGCCCCCAAACCCTGCCGAGCCCCCCAAACCCTGCTGGGTTGCCCCAAACACTGCTGTACCCCCCAAACCCTGCTGAGCCCCCCAAACCCTGCTGGGCCCCCCCTAAACCTGCTTGGTTCCCCCAAACCTGCTGAGCCCCCCAAACTCTGCTATGCCCCCCAAACCCTGCTGAGCACCCCAAACCCTGCTGAGCCCCCCCAAACCCTGCTGAGCACCCCAAACCCTGCTGGGCCCCCCAAACCCAGGAAGGAGTGACACGGGGGGGCTTCACTGGGGTTATTTATTGGGGGGGGGGAACAGAAATGGGGGGACCTGACCCACACATTGGGGGGACACGAGTGGGGGGGTCATTTATGGGTGGGGGAGACCCCCAGCTCGACAGGAGGGGTGGGGAGGGGTTGGGGGGTTCCCCCAGCTCAGGGCCTGAGCCCCCCATTTCCCCCTCCCTGGGAGCAGAGCCCGGGGTCACCTCAGCTCCCGTGGGGGGGCTCAGGGACATCGGGGGGGGCTGCAGGGGACCCGGGGCTGTCCCTGGGGTCCTGCTGCAGCTGCTGCTGCTCCTTCCAGCCCAGCAGCACAGCTGGAAACATCGCAAACATCTGGCCAGCTGCCATGGGACTGCAGCATCCCACGGGGTTTGGGATGCTGGGGGGGTTGGGATGCAGGATGCCCCATGTCCCCCATGTCCCCATGGGTCGTCTCCCCCGTTTTGTCCCCTCCCCTGGCACGCTGGGACGCGGGGCTGGGCTCTGGGGCGGGAGCAGCAGGTAGCGCAGGTTTGCCGGGATCCTCCCGTCTGAGCCGGCCCCGTTCCCAGCCACGCCGCCCTCCGGGAAGGGCGGGAGCCACGGGAGGGTCCCGGGGCCGGTGGGAGCCTCGGGAGGGTCCCGGGGCCGGTGGGAGCCGTGCGAGGATCCCGGGGCCGGTGGGAGCCACGGGAGGGTCCCGGGGCCGCTGGGAGCCACGGGAGGGTCCCGGGGCCGGTGGGAGCCGTGCGAGGGTCCCGGGGCCGCTGGGAGCCACGGGAGGGTCCCGGGGCCGGTGGGAGCCACGCGAGGATCCCCTCGGGGCTGCTGGAGCCGCTCCCGGCCCTCGGGAGGGTTTCGGGGGGCACGGGGGGATCCCGGCCGGGGCTGCAGAGGGGGCTCCGTGCTCAGCCCTCACCCACGGTGGATTGTCCCGGCATTCCCGGTGGATTGTCCCGGCGTTCCCGTTGTCCCGGCTCAGGCGGGGCCGTAGCACAGGATCTCGCTCAGGTCGTAGCCGGTGACAGCGAAGGTGTCCCCAGCAGGGTCACAGAAGCGGGCGCCGCACACCTGGGTGTCTGTCACACACTCGGCGTGGCAGTGCTGCACCTGCGGGGGGCGCGGATCCAATTCCAACCCGAATTCCGGGATTGCCACAGCTCCAAGGGCCACAGCCCTGTCCCCTGTCCCCGTGTCCCTCTGTCCCCGTGTCCTTGTCCCAAACTGACCTCGATGTCATCGGTGTCCGGGTCCCTGCTGAGCTTCCAGACGTGGACAAAGGAATCCTCTGCACCCGAGAGCAGCTGCCAGGGGAGCAGGGGGACAGTGGGGACACCACGGAAGTGGCAGCGCCACTGGCAGGGTGGGACACTGGGGTGGGATTTGAGGTTGGGATGCCAGGTGGGATGTGGAGTGGGATGCCAGGCTGGGATTTCAGGTTGGAATGCCAAGTGGGATGCCAGGCTGGGATTTCAAAGTGGGATGTGGGGTGGGTGGGATGCCAGGCTGGGATTTCAGGTTGGAATTTTTGTCCCTCTGGGATAGGAATCCACCTGGGATGCCAGGTTGGAATTTCAGGTTGGAATGGCAGGTGGGAGGTCAGGTTGGGATTTCAGGGCGGAATTCCAAACTGGGATTTCTGGTTGGAATGCCAGTTGGCATGTTGGGATGGGATTTCAGGTTGAAATGCCAGGTTGGGACTTCAGGCTGGAATTCAAAGTGGGATGCCAGCCTGGGATTTCAGGTCGGGATTTCAGGTTGGAATGCCAGGTTGGGATTTCAGGATGGAATGCCAGGTTGGGATGCCAGGTTGGAATTTCAGATTGGAAGGCCAGGTTCAAATGCCAGGCTGAGATGTCAGGTTGGAATGCCAGGTGGATGTTGGGGTGGGATTTCAGGTTGGGATTTCAGGTTGGAATGCCAAATGGGACATGGGATGGGATGCCAGGTTGGGATTTCAGGTTGGAATGCCAGGTGGGATGTCAGGGTGGGATGCCAGGCTGGAATTTCAGGTTGGAATGCCAAGTGGGATGCCAGGCTGGGATATCAGGTTGGGATTTCAGGTTGGAATGCCAGGTTGGAATGCCAGGTTAAGATTTTAGGTTGGAATGCCAGGTTGAGATTTCGGGTTGGAATTCAAGGTGGGATGCCAGGCTGGAATTTCAGGTTGGAATGCCAGGTGGGATGTCAGGGTGGGATGCCAGGCTGGAATTTCACGTTGGAATGCCAAGTGGGATGCCAGGTTGGAATGCCAGGTTAGGATTTCAGGTTGGAATGCCAGGTTGGGATTTCAGGATGGAATTCAAGGTGGGATGTCAGCTTGGGATTTCAGGTTGGAATACCAGGTGGATGTCGGTGTGGGATGCAGGCTGGGATATTGGGCAGGATGCCAGCATGGGATGCTTTGGGTGCCCCCAGCTGTGCCCCCAGCTGTGCCCGTCCCCCCGTACCTTGCCGGTGAGCGGTGCCAGGTCGATGGCGTAGATCCAGCGGGCGTGTGCGCTGAGCTGGGCGCGGATCCGCCCCGAGCCCGCCTCCCACAGCCGGATCTGCCCGTTCCCGTAGCCCGCGGCCACGATCCCGTTCCACAGCGCCACCGAGGAGCACGTGCAGCTGCACACGGGGTCGGTGTCACCACCCAGGGCTGTCCCCCACCGTGTCCGACACCCCGCGGCACTCCCGGGGCTCACCCGGACCCCGGGATCCTCCCCAGCAGCGTGAACTCCTCCCCGCTGCTCCACAGGCACAGCGTCCCCGAGTCATCGGCTGTCACCAGGTCCCCGGCGCCGTCCTGTGGGGACAGGTGGCTCAGGGACACCGGGCAGTGTCCCCACTTGGGGATGGCACTGTCCCACGGGCACCAGGACAAGCTGGGACAGCTCCTGAAGCGCTGACGGGTCCGGAGCGGTGGCGGCTCCGTTGGGACTCGTCCGGCCCTGCCCACGCTGCCAGGCCAGGGGGATTTCGAGGAAGGATCAGGGCACCCCTCCCTCCCTCCGTGAGGATTCCCGGCCCTGGGAATGCCCCAGTGCAGCCCTGGGAAGCCTGGGAGCAAAGCCCGGGGTGGCAGTGGGAGGTGACACAAGAGCTCCGTGTCCCCATGGTGACACTGCAGCAGCTCGGGAATGGCATCTGGGGGATGAATTCCTCGGGGATCCCAGAGCAAGGAAAGTTCAGTGACTCATCAGGGAAAGTGCTGAGTGGGAGGAAAACTGCCTGGGGAGTCTGCAGGGACCTGCCCTGGGAACTGCCAGGAGGCTGCAGGAGAGATGGGAGGGATTTGGGACAAAGGATGGGGTGACAGGACACAGGGAATGGCTTCCCACAGGAGAAGGGGAGATTTGGGTGGGATTTAGGGAAGAAATCCTTCCCTGTGAGGGTGTGGCTGCCCCTGGATCCCTGGAAGTGTCCAAGACCAGCTTGGAGCCACCTGGGACAGTGGAAGATGTCCCTGATGAGATTTAGGGTCCCCCTTTTCCCCCCGTACCGGGGCCTGGCCCTGCTCGGCCGCCATGTCGGTGATGGGATCCCGGTGCTGCTCCAGGACCTCGCTCAGCGTCACGTTGGTCCCTTTGGGGGGGATGTCAAACACCAGCACGGCCCCAAAG